ATTTGCATGAGTTTTGCATTATTCAACGCATATTTTACACCAACTGCATGCATAAACTACCGTTAGTTGTGTGACATGTAAATGATTTGAACCTATGTAAATAAGCGACCAAGAAATGAGCTACTGAAAAAGACTCACACCACCCCCAAAAAACGAAATGCTCTTTTTAATGTGTTGTGTTGTGATAGAGAGCAAGAGAGAGAGAGCGAGAGAGAGAAAGAACTAGTGACATGAGGTATAAATGATATCGTATACATCCGGAGTTGATTAGTTTAGCAATTTAGTTCAATCTGTGCGGGACATTCAAAGACTCGTCCTGAAAAGTTTTTCGCGAGCAGCCACATTTTTATCAACAGGATTTCCCTTCGTCGGGCAAAAATTCTTTTACTCCCTCTCTTTCTCTCTCTCTCTCTCTCTCTCGTTCAAAAATTAGCTTCCGTTGATTAAGAAAAAGTAATCAAGCCAAAGAATGTTTTTCATTACAATCGCTATTGCGATGGCAGCTCACGGCATTTATCTAACAAATGCGTCAACTCTTAAAATAGGTCAATGAGTAAATGATTTTCGTATGCGAAAAAGCACCTTGAATGCGACTCAAAGTTGGAACAAGTGGAATTAATCAAGTATTTTAATGCTTTTTGGTTGCTCGTTGCCAGCTTTACCACAGTTTGTATGCGATGCATTGACTGCTCTGCCCAACTTTGTTGCATTCATTTCAGCAGTAATCCGTTACTTCTACTCTGGGAACAGTATGCAGATAAGACAAAACTCGAATGTATGCAAAGTTAATTTGCGTTAACAATTTTAAAACAGTTCCGTCGAATCAGTTTATTGGAGTAAATGGACTGAATTCAGATGAAATATCCACCTAGTCTAACTTTAAACCAACTAAACCGCATCATGCAAGTTGAACAAACAAAAAACACGAATTAGTCAATGTGTCAAGGTTGGATTTGTATTATGAGTTTTTTCCCATTTGGATTTATGACGTACTAATTAGAAAGAAAGATATTATTTTCATCAAACAACGCGAGACCTGTAGCAAATAAACGGATTTGTGATCGGTTATATTCATTGAACTCATCTTGTCTTTCAGTTCTTCATCTGTATTTGGTGAAAAATGATACAAACGCCGAATATAATTGACACATGACGCAATGCCAGAGTAGTTGGGTACAATTTGCACATATTCCTAATTAGTGTGTTTCCAAAACTGGGTCAATTCAATAATATGAAAATGGAACAAAAAAAAATGTCAATTTCACAAAAAGTGTATGCCAATTTGTATTAGTCAAAGCGTTGAAATACCGTGTTGGGCTACATATAATACGATACATATGTGTGTGGTGTTCGGGTGATGGATCATAATGACTGAAAACACACTAATCAACTCGTACAGCGATAATTTGCGACTATGAAATCGGTTAACTTTTCAATTCTATGGGCGCTGCCATATTGAAAATTTACGTGCGATATGGTGCACGCACTCAATAGTTCCACTTATTTTAATAAGGAATCTCTATAGGTGGCGCTGCCACATCGTCATTGACATCGAGTCAAATATTGTCAAATATAATAACATTGTTTATATAGGCTTTTATCGCAGTACGAATCAACTCGCGCGGTTTCTGGCACGCGCACACATAACATGCATCTCAGCTGTTGCACATTACTTTTTTCATAAGCGAAAATGCACTCATCCCCGAAATTCATGGAAATTGACGTTGTGTCAATTCTTCGCTCGCTCTAGCTCCCCATTACGTGCACCGTGCACTCTTTTGTTGTTGGTAATACCTTGGTATGTTGGCATGAGGTTTGACTTCAATTGCAAATTAAACAAAATGACAAATTCCCAAGGAAAACACTGAACACTCTGAACACTGAAAAACCCACTCAAACAACTCAGAATAAGGTTTTTGTCGCTTTTTTTCTCATTGGTTTTTATTATTATTATTATTTATTTGGTTTCTTCATACTTACAACTAAATTATACAATGGTTGAGATCTACTATTGAAATGACTTTACATGTTATGACCACACTACTCCCAAATCATTAGACAAATTTTGTTTTCTATCATTTTGATTACATTTTTAATTTTTGTTCGAGAATATTGGGGTATCTAAATAAATTACCAGTCCATATATATACAATTTTAGGACCAAATTTTAATGTTTTTTTTTTGTCAATTGCAATTGGTTTGTTTTCCTTATATTTATTAAACAATATTATCACAATTTCATTAGATTTTAAGCAATTTGAAGATGAATTAAGAGGGTTAAGGAGTTATTTAAATTGATTATAGAGAGAAAAGAAGTCACGAATCGATCAGGTAAGAACTAATTTCTTGAGACGCTTTTTGAATGTATAAAGAGTATAATCGGTGGTGAAGTGGTTGGCATGTTCGTAATAGAGCTCAGTACAGTTTCGATAAATGCTTTTGAGACCAAGGTTGGTGCGAGCTCTTTCGAAACGCGGTCTCGAGTTAGAGCTCGTAGGGTGGTTGTAGCACTTTTCTTCTTCATTTCGGAAATATTCGATTTTTTCTCGTTCGGCTGAAACCAAGTTGGTTTGGTTGCAAAAAACGAAGCAACGAAAAATGCAAAAGGAGTCAAGCAAAAAAAGAGCGTATGCGAAATGAGAAAATTGAAATATTATGATAATGTAATAAGTTGCAGCCAGCGAGAAAAAGACAGAAATGGAAAGAGAGATTTTCTTATTCGAATGAGCTTAATATTTTGTGCATTAAAATTCAAACACAATGTATAACATCACATATTACGTTCGGAAAATGTTTTTCGCATATTTTGTGCGACAGAACTGTAGAAAATAAATTTGTCGTTTGGTGGTTGTTTGGTGAATTGAAGTCGCGCGTGCATCGCTCTTTCTAGCTGATGCTCTCCCCCTAGCTCGCACAATATAACTGAGTAAACAAAATGGAATTGAGTTTAAGAGTGAAACAATGTTCGAGCAACCAAAGTTTATTATTCACTTCTTCTGAATGAATTTCCTAAAATAAGGAACAATTTGATATTCCGGTTTGCACATGTGTCATATGAGCCGTTGCCGTTGACGTCGCCATCACCGTGGCAAGCAAGCTTCCGAGAAGGTAGCAACTTTGGTAAAAACTCAAACAGAAATATGAATGAAAATATAATATGAAGACACAACTGTATAGGGTGCAGACAAAATCAGCCCGAAGGGAAACCAGAAAATTAATTCTTCATTTCGTTTTTGATTGGAATAATTAGGAACAATGGAAAGTTTTGCCGAATAGTTTTGTACAGCATTGTGCTGCTGGTACTGCTGCTTTACATTGTGCCAGAAAGCCATTATCAAGGAAGGTATAATTCAGTGGAATATTTTTGATATTCATTCTCAATCAATCGATCAATATCTTGTGTTGTTGAGAATAATGAGTTTCAATTGTTTCGGGCGAAATCGAAACAATAGCCCCAGATCCAAAATCGCACACGCACACAGAGCATGGATGGTCGTATAACAATGAGGTAACGAAACGGCAATAAAGATCTATTGTTGAAGATGCGAATTGCTCTACAAAATTGAATTTATGTATCAAACACAAGACCGGATTAGAGAAAACCAGTCAATGAGTGTGTGCGTTTTCTTCTTTTTCATTCAAATAACCTTGGATACCTCGTATCGGATACACGTTTGATACCACCTATTTCACACATATACAAATCGGAGCGCATAAACCAGTAAACGCACGCATTCCACGCCAAAAACCAGACAGAAGGGAATGGAAAAAGAAGTCATATGTTTGATCAAGCAGCAAAATGGCATACGGTAGTCGATTTGAATATTTTATTGGCTATGCCATCCAGAAAATTGAGCTGTTGATTTCTTGATCTTGAATATTCATTGGATTGAAATGGTTGCCGCAAGCCGAACATCGGCTAGCAACCAGAATGAAGGGTATAAATGATTTTTTTTAGAGAAAAAAAGTGAATTTTCGAGATGTGTGTGAAACAAGTGGCAGCGCATGTAGCGTACAACCGATTTCAAATGGACACATTGTCATTACGTGAACACAATAGCCGTCTGATTACGTCGTGTGAATTATGTGGACGCACGTTTGTGTTTGTTTCAAACACCTTTTTTTGCCTCCATACATGCACGTCGTCGTTCGGCTGCATTTCGATTATGCAGTTTCAATCGGTGTGATTTGTATTAGTTTCAGGATGTAAAGCGGCATACGTAGAAAAACCGGCTGCTGCTTTAGCACAAATACCACCATCCATTTCTATTCATCATGATTGTAAGCACAAATCATACGACAACATGAAACAGTTGAGCTGAACCATGATCATGGTGTAGCTGTTGCTAGCACGAACCGGTAATCAATGGACAAACCGAGAGCAGACATTCAACGAGCACGAGTGTGTGAGAGAAAGATAGAGTGTGACTCAACTCAAGCGCACACATTGGACGCGGCGGCAAAGTATTCGCACCGACGAAGAAAAAGTAGAAAAAAGAAACCAATCACTTACACCTGTGTAACCACAGATTCATAACTATGGTAATCAAGTGACGAGAGAGAGAGAGAGAGAGAGAGAGAGAGAGAGAAAGAGAGAGGCAAGAGCAGACAAAAATGCCACTGAACAACAAATATTGCATTGATTTTATTGCCTCACCGTTGGCGTGTTGGTTTTTGTTGTGTGTTTTTCTCCTTCTTCGTTTTCTTCATATCGTTCTCTCAACATACATCAAGACCATCGAGAGAAAGAGCAGTAATGCACATCGTGTGCTCACATATTAACCACAATTTTATATCGATGTGTTTATGAATCGCACGTGTCTTATGCATATGAAGTATTCAATTAGTTTTGGGTTGGCTTGTATTTGTCTTGGTGTGAGTTTTGTGTGTATTACATTTGGTATTGCGTTTCTTGATTTGTCTTAAGAAAAAATCATATTGGAACAATCGATGACGGCGGCGACAATTCGCCTTTTTTTCTTTCTTCTTTTTCAACACTCGACCAAGTGCTCGATTGGTTTCTCAGTCGATCGTGTCTTTTCAGTGAGTGTGTACGCATCATCGTTAAAAGACAAAAATCACTACGGTCGCTGGTGAATTTTTTGTCATCTTACATCTATTTTTTTTCGGTCGAAAATACTTTTCGGAATCGCGTTAAACGCACACTTTGTGTGATTAAAAGCAAAAATCAACATCATTATAATTTGGGGCGAAAAAAGCAGAAAAAAATTACTTTGCTAAATAAGTTATTAAACGGCGTTTTGCAAGTTCTTCCTTGAACGCCAAAAGCCGAAATTCCAACTCAAATAAAAGTGAACGGGAGTGTATTTCTAGTAGAGCAGTGGATTTGTTTCCATCATCATCTGGACTTGAAAGAAGACAAAAAGATACTTAAAAAATGTGTAAACCATATCAGTTATTTGCTGCGACGCTATTTTGTGCAGTCGCACTTACTCGCAATTTAGTTTATGGTAAATATTTTGCATTTCTTCCTGTATATTTTCTTGTTTGCATTTTGTACATTTTCAGGAAAAAAAATCTGTTTTTTTTCTATTTTGTATCTATCTCTTGTGTGAGATGTTTGGTTGTCGTTTTTTTTTCTCTGTCGTATTTGCCTTTGCTCTGCGCGTTTATTTCTCAGAATTCAAACTGATTGTGTTTCTGTGTATTTATCGCGTTGAGTTGGCAGTTTTTCGATCAGCGTTGATATTTGACGAAAAAATTGTGAGGAATGTAAAAGTTGCAAAAGAGAGATACGAACGGCGGTGGCCGTTGTTGTCGCTGCCGTCGCCGTTTGTGTGTCTGTAGAGTGTGGCATTTGAATCATTTGGCACGAAGAAAAAAAAACAACAGTATCGAAGCAAAGAAAGAAAAAGAAGCATTTTATTTACTTTCGTTTTTAATGCTTACTACCGGTTTTCATATATTCATTGTAGCCGTAATCGAGCGAGAAATCGTACACACACCCATACACAAATTCCGTCGACCATAAAATCAACGAAAAAAAAACTTTCTTTTGCTACCATTTTTTTTTCTCCATTTCATACATATTTATGTATAATTTTTTTTTCGCCACTCGTCATCGTGCATAACGAACGAGAGACAAACTTAACAAAAACAAAATGTGTGCGATGGTCTTTTTTTATTTATTTCAATTCGTTATACATAGCCTGAAATGGAATGACAAAACAGAAATGCGATCGTAGCGTATGAGTTAATTATGCTTGCTATCAAGAGATCCACATAAAATACAAAAACGGGGAAACCACAAATGGAGAAAATATTATCTCTCTCTCGTTCGAAAAAAGCATCAGTTTTATTTCAACTCAATTTGTTGTGTGAACTCTCTGGCATCGTTGCATTTCGAATTTTTTGTTTTTTTTCTCTGTCTCTATACTTATTAGCTCTATTTTGTGATGATTCGAAACCGATAAACTGCGGGGCAGTTAATGAACGAGCGAATGAACCGGATGACCAGAGAACAAAAATAAATATGCTCGCGCATTGAAATTTTGTTGATTTTTTCCACAGCAAATTGTCATGTTCATTAGTTTGAACATTTTTAATTCAAATAATGTGTTTAATCTTGACAAACGCGTTACTGTCTCATTCTCTTTCTCTCTCTCTCTCTCGCGTTCGTTCCGCTGATATGATGATCGCTGTTGGTGTTGTTGTTTTTTATGGTATTCCAGTTTATTTTTGCCATTCGATATTAAACGCGCGATATTTTTTTCCTCCGTGTGTATGTGTGAATGCACCAAATGCACCAGAGAATAATATATTATATAAAAACGAGCCGGAATAAATAAATTTCACACAGTCGACAAGAGTGAACAGAAACGGAAAAAAATACACACGCGGCAAATAAAAAAACGAATTGAACAGTTTGAGAAAGATGAAACATCGAAATAAAAAAACAAATTCGGCATTTTTTCTCCGGCAAATGAATGGCTTTGGTTCAGTGGAGCCGAGGTGACTGATCAGTTGTGTGGTTATAAAGCGGATGCCGTCAAAATTGAAGGTCTTTGTTTTATTTCCCGGGTAAAGGGCAATTGCAATTTTTATTTCGGCCGGCCATTCATTCGATATCCACATGCATATATGCAAATTGAGGCGTTCACAACAATCGATGATGAAAAAAGCAAAACAAAAACGGTGAAAAATACCAATAATAGAAGAAAATGTGTGCCGTCAAATCAAAAATGCGACGTGTGTACCGTACACACGTTCGCTTTATGCTGTGCATATTGACACATTTCACTCAAAACGGGAGAGATGAGAGAACAACACAGAACAACAGCAGGAGCAAGCAAAAACGAAATATCCACCATACACACACACACACACACACATAGACGTACACATGCACTAGATTCAAAAAGCATTAGCCAACGTGTTGGACGAAACATAAAAACCACACACAATCATTGTTCGGTAGATGGTGGTACAATTTTTTTTGTTGTTGCGGCACTCAGCCGTCTCTCGATTTCGTATTCATGTTGCACACACAATCATTTAATCATTCAGTTGACTCTTTTTATTTAGAGCAAATTCATTACACATTTGTAGTTATGCGCGATTGCGAACAATTGCCGTTATTGTGTGTGTATGTGAGTGGAAGAGTTGGTTGTCACACACGCACACACACATACAACAGACAAGCGGCATCGACTGCGACCATATCGAGAGTTGTTGTATGGTTAGTGTTTGGGGCTTACTGTTCATCATTCTGCAATTCATTGGTATAATATATGCCACACATTGGCCATCTAAATACGTGCCATGTACACTGAATGAGTATCATCATTTACGTGTTCATTCCGCTGCACATTATGGCTCCTCCGACCATAAAAAAATGTGATTAAAATGGCAAGACCGAGAACAAGTGAGTGTAAGATAACAAAGAAGCTGCAATGAATCGATAGCAAAAAGCACCAGCACAATTAACACAATGAATGTTGCTATTTTATCCACCGACACATACTCTCTCTCTCTCTCTCTCAAACATGGAGGGAGACACTCTTTTTCACCTCGAAAAGTCACGAATGACGATGCTGTCGCCGACACCGACGATGACGACGTCGACTATGACTGAATTTTCGCCCGACAAAATGCGAATGAGAGAGATTTTGACACTTGCGTGCGCCAGCACACCGACTGTTTATTGAATCTTTTCACCCATTTCATCACATCTGTTCTTTCACAACTTTTAATAGATAACCATTTATGTATTATGTGCCGTAGATGCCGTGAAAAATATCGAAATAAACGAGAGAAATAGTTTATGGATTACGTGTAATAAAATTGAATGATGGAAGGCATTTGAACATTTGGCGACGTGTTAAAGTATCTGAAAGACATTTATCGCAATGTGTGTGTGTGTGTGTGTGTGTCATGTTATCATCAACGCCGTTGTTTTGACTCATTTGTAGCATTTGAAATGTCGTGTGTCACAGAATGTGTGTTCGTTCATTCGTTCGTTTGTTCGTTCGCTTCACACCCGCCATCGATAACACACCGAACGCAGTGTGCCAAACGCAGCAGCATCGATTATCTTTATTACATGCCAACAGTGCACCGTAATTTATATAATCAAAATCCTAGAAATGAAATGAACGATTCAACTTGAGCTTATTGATTATGTTGTTGTACAAAAACAAATTATCGCATGGTTGGCAAGTGGATTACTTTGGTACTCGCTCGCTCTTTCCCTGTCATTCTCTTCCCGACTCTCTCTGGTTTTCGTTTTTATTTTTGGGTGACACACCGCACCGTGCGCTTCACTGGAAAATGTGCTCTTATCAGTGCCATTTTGTCTCTTTCGCTCTCCAAACAAGAATTGCGTCATCCGCAGCGGCACATGAAGGCTAGGGCAAACCACTCGTAGATTGTAAGAGCCCATTTGCGCGATAAAAAGATACAGCGAAAAATGAGCTACTACATCATAAACGGTTTGAGTGAACGGGAAGGCGAATAGGCAAAGAAGACCGCTCAATAACTCAAGAACACCATTTTATTTTGTCTAACGATGGATTTTGTAAAATGTTATGGCAATCAAGACAAAATATTTACGTGCACTGACTATAGTGGGAATATATGGTGTAATGAACTCAAGTGCAGTACAAAGCAAATAAACCATGCTTCGTTAAAAGGAAGTGATTGTCTCACATCGCTTTACCGTGCAGAAGAAGAAGAAAAATTGTATGTCTATATTTATGCGGAACATGCTGACACATTTCGCCGCTCGATATTCCATCTCGAAATCAATCTATTACAAATTACTCGCACCGATCTCGCGAGCGCGCTTGTATTACACAGGCTATGATTGATGAGTGCATTAATATAATTTTATGTCATTACATGAGTTTTCTTATTGTACGAGTTCTGTTAATTGATCTCTTTCTCACTCGGCCCCAAACCCTACAGCCAATATTCAACGGTCTATATGTTGTGCGTATTTCTTTTTTATCTCTCTACTTGAGACACGATATTGCAATTCTTTCACGACTCGACGAACTAGTTTGTTGTCGCATAAAAATTGAAATATTTCTCTGCATTAGACCCAAATGCCTTGTTTTTTGCAATGAAACCATTTCAACTAACCCGCTTTGCCGTTACTGCTGCTATTGCTGCTGCTGCTGCTGCAGCTATCGTCGCCGTCAACGTTGTCATTGCTGACTTTCATGTAATTTATTTGCTGGAATGTAGTTCCGATTTACTTCAGCGTCGTCGACAAGTTGAAGAGCAATTGTTGATTATTGCTTTGACAAATTACTTTCAGTTTTCGAGACCCGTTTCCATTGCAAACATTCAAACCGCATGACAAATTGACGGAATTCAGCGGGGAGAAAAATGGCAAATTACAGAATTTTCAACATAAACATTTTTTGATTTTATGGTTTTGAGATAGATTCTCATGAAAAAAAATTGCTGCCACTTGAACCCCATTCACAAAGGATATGAAACGAAATCAAAGGAATTTGTTTAAAATCAGAAGGCAAACGCATAACTGAATGAGGTCATTTCAAACCGATTTTCCTATGATGGTGTGGTGCGTGTGTGTTTATACAGATTTCATCCAACGGGATTTTAATCGTTTTTTCATCTCCATTAACGGAAGCTATTCGTGAAATATGGTGGCCACTGGAAGAAAATCGCCAAAAGTGCCATTCATGGGAGAAATATAATTATAATAATTACGTTGGAATGGAATATTTGTGTGACTCTTTTTTGCGTGCTCGCGCTTTGTAGAACTAATCCAATTAAATTACCATCAAAAAGGCCTCTAATTACCATTTTACTCCTTTTTTCGGATCGGCCAGCACTTTAATTTATTTTATTTTCCCTTCGGATGTTAATTAGCCTGATGCCCTCCCGAAATAGAGAGTGGAAAAAGAAGAACATGCACAAATATAACAAGAGTATTTTATCGGAAAATGTGGAAATTTGCGTGCGATGGAAGGATTGTTTA